CAATGAGATGTCACGACTTTAATGATACTACTGTACTAACAATGTAGAAATGGTAATAGTGTACTAATGATGTAGGAATGTCGGAATGGTACTATTGTACTAACAAATTAGTCATCTAACAGAGTATAGTTGACGAGCACCAGACTACTCAAGACAGTCTTGTGGAACACATGCGGGTTTATAACCTGTAGGTGATGGACATTATGCCCATTTGGTGTACTCTACTCCATACTGACATGTATTACGGAGAAATTCCTGGAACAATACTATCAATAATGATGATTAAGATGATCCTTAGGTCATATCCTTAAGAATGAAAATAGAAAGAAATTTACCGACATGTATTGCGGAGAAATTCTTGAAACAATACTGTCAGCAATGATGAATATGATGACCCTTAGGATAGATCCTTAGGGAAGAATAAAGAAGAAAATGGGGATGTGTAATCGTGTTAATTGCTTGATAATTAAACATAATAACTACATTATTATGAGTTGAAAATCCTATATATTCACCAAGTTTTCTAACCCAACCCACTCAATTGCTTTGTATTATAGGTAACAATATGTAGGTAATGATGTTCGGACTTGACGAGAGATTAGAGGAAATATTTGTCATAATATAAAAGATATAGTAATGTGTGTAAGAATTATGTTTATGCTTATGTTTATTGTATCAGTTAGGACATCCTAATCCTAAGTTTTTAATAAACACTAACGAACATTTTCTTCGGAAAGTACTTTTACGGGACCAATTTTGCATTTATAAACAAACTCTATTTTAAAATAAACATAAATAAAAAGGTATTTTTTAGTCGAGAAATTGGGAATGTTAGCTACAACTTGGTAAAACTTCAATTTATTTCAAGCTCGTATGAAAGAGTTAGCCGTTCAAAGCTGGGCAAAAATTATAAACATTGCTAAGAATTAAGTTGATTTTCCCTTACACAATTTCAAAACTGAAAAGCCCAAGAACCGCCGACCTGAAAATCAAAAAACCAAAAACCCAAAATTGGTATTTTTTGGAACTGAATGACCGATTCAGTTTCGATTTCAATTTAATTCGTTTTTTTCTCATCCTTTATTAAGGATGTGAATTCATTACTATATGGCTGATTTTTAGGCATTTATAAAAATGACTGTTTGTTTTGCTTGGAATGGTCATTTCAGACTTTTTTTGGAGCTAACTTCTAAAATACTTTTACTGACATAAAAATATATTTTATATTCTAAGTTTCAGATTTCGAATTATGAACAAAAAAACAATGTTGTAAAAATTCCGACTAAGATTCATTTAATCTCAAATTAGTCTCTAGGCGTTATTCGTCCGACTTGAAGACGCTTACCTATAAATCTCTGCATATACAATGAGCGAACCAGTAGCAAACAATTAATTTTTAACACTTTAAAGAAATTATATATCAATAAAAACTATTTGAGGAATTAGTAATATTGTATTAAATTATTTGAGCGAACTAGTAGCAACAAACCAACTAGAAGACACCTACCGATTAATCTAACGCTTTTCCGATTAATCTCTTAACCCCACTTCATTGACTAGTTAATGTCAAACGTGTTTTGTACAACCATGAGAAAAAGAAAAAAATCCGGAGTTTCAAAACATATCTAAAATTCAATGAACAAGTCTAAAATTTTAAATATTATGTTTTGTTTTTTAACCGAAATGTAACAAAAAAAATTAAAGAAGCAAAAGAAAAGAAAAGTAAAGCATGTTACGATAAAAGTGCATAAAGTGTATCATTTAGTTAAGAAACCGGTGATATTAAGGACGTGTTGGGCATGTAATTTTGAGAGCTTCTAATCATTTTTAACTATTAAGAAAAAGCTCGAAAAAAAATCGTTCAACTATAAAAGCTTTTAGTTTTTATCTTAAACAAAAAACTTCAAGTAACGTTTAACAAAAAAAAAACATTATATTTTTTATAAATCGATTTTAATTATCCTTTTTTAAAATAATATTTCTATTTTATGTTTTAACCATTTTATTAATTTTACATGTTTTAAAAACTACTGCTTTTAGCTAGTTTTGTGAAAGCCAATCTTTCAAATGTAAAAATATATTTAATATTTTTCAAAAGCGTTTGGTAAAATAAAAAATAAAATTATTAATTATATATCATTTGGATCCCAAAATGCCATTCCGATAGAAATGGTTATATCTAGTAAATTTTAAAAAATTGGATCATTTCCACGTATTAAAAGAAACATGGTTCGTTTTTTAAAGGGATAATGATTTAGGAGAGTAACTACCTTTTATTCGTATTCACATATTGACAACTTCTTCTTTTTTGTACATAATAAAGCAACCAACTTGTTTTAACTGTTTAAATTATATCAATATTACCGGCTAATACATGTTTTAACCGGTAACTCAAAGGGAAAATGACTACGGAGGGTAACTACCTCTTATCCGTGTTCACATATTGGCAACTTCTTATTTTTTGTACATAAGAAAGAAACTAACTTGTTTTAACTGTGTAACATCCCAAAAATCATGACCAAAAATTTCGTTTTTAATTTCATACTAAAACCATAATTGTCAAACCATTAATTTAATACTCCAGTATTGGGCCTCGTCCGACATCAGGCCTCGTTTATCATCGAGCCACGTTCAGTATACAAATATGTCTCTCTTAGGCCCCGCCTGTCTCCGAGCCCCGCCCGCTAAACACATACAATCATCTAACATGCTAACACATAAAGAAACATACTCTACTGTATCCCTGTCCTAAGAAACATACTCTGCTAATAATGAGATACATAACTTCGTTCGTACTCAGCTAGTTCCAGCCAGGGCTTCAGCAGTGCAAGGTGAATCTCCTCACTGTGTGAATGGGTCTAAGGCCACAATGCCAGCCCATGTAGTCTATGAGTAGGAAGACTCGGGGGTTAGCCATAGGCATTGTTTGCTAGTATGTTATTCCAGACCAAGGTCTGATGTCGTGCGGGTGCCTGAGAAATGTTTTCATGTTAGATTATACTTGTTGTATGTGTGATACTTGTATGTGCCTGGTAAAGAGGTGAATGTGGACGAGCTCCTGTATCTCATCACTAGTTGAGTACGAACGATGTTTTGTATCTCATTATTACCAGAGTATGTTTCTTAGGACAGTGATACAGTAGAGTATGTTTCTTTATGTGTTAGCATGTTATAGGATTGTATGTGTTTAGCGGGCGGGCCCCGGAGACAGGCAGGGCCTAAGAGAGACATATCTGTATACCGAGCGAGGCTCGATGCTAGACAGGCCTGATGTCGGGCGGGGCCCGATGTCGGAGTATTAAATTAATGGTTTGACAATTATGGTTTTAGTATTAAATTAAAAAAAAAAAATTGGTCATGATTTTTGGGATGTTACATAGTTAAAACAAGTTAGTTGCTTTCTTATGTACAAAAAATAAGAAGTTGCCAATATGTGAACACGGATAAGAGGTAGTTACCCTCCTAAGTCATTTTCCGTTTGAGTTACCGGTTAAAACAGATATTAGCCGGTAATATTGGTGTAATTTAAACAGTTAAAACAAGTTAGTTGCTTTATTATGTACAAAAAACAAGAAGTTGCTAATATGTGAACACGGATAAGAGATAGTTACTATCTTAAGTCATTTTCCCTTTTTTAAATAATTGTCCCTGAAATATCATTTTTGGCTAAGAACACATGAACCAATTTCGTACTTTACCGTATTGTTTAATGCTATTAAATTAACTCTGCTTAATTTAATTTTCTTTTTCTGATGAGGAAATTACATATAGCCATTTATGGATTTTAAGCTTTAAACATTTATATATATATATATATATATATATATATATATATATATATATATATATATATATATATATATATATATATATATATATATATATATATATATATATATATATATATATATATGGAAAAGTGAATATACCCTTAAGGGTATATAAGCTTACGTACCCAAACACACCATAATACGTCGTTTTATTTAATATATTCATTATAATGTTTTTTAAAATCCAACCCAAACTTGATTTAATTTCAAGATTTTCGAAATTTCACTATTATATTTCTCTAACATCGCATATTTTTGCCGAACACCTACTAAGTTATATATATTGTAGTTGAAAATGAAAATTATGTAAGATGAAGACAAATGTGTAATATATAAAAATCATGGAAGTAAATCAAGTTAGAAGTTAAATTAAAATAACATTGGACAATTAGAATGTATTATATGATACAAAACGACGTATTATAGTGAGTTTGGGTAACTAAGTTTATATATATATATATATATATATATACACACACACGCGCATTAAATCAAACACATTAAATTGTCAAGTTTTGTTAGTTAAAAAGCAACTTATAAACTAGCATTTAAAATAGCTACTTAAATTAGTATTTTTTTAGTTTTTTTTAAAATTTTCCAAATATAGCTTTTAATTCATTATAAAAACATATTCTTTTAAATGTTATTTTATATCTTTCAGCTACCAACTAGTTTTTTATTTAACAATTTGTTGAGATTTTCAACAAGTTTTTATTTAACAATTTGTTGAGTTTTTCAACAAGTACAACAAACATAACGTAAGTCTACGATTCTTGAAAATGTTCTAACAAACACAATTGCAATTGAAAGAAATGCTGTAAAGTAAACTGATCTTAATTCAACTCAATTTCATTTCAACTAGAAAAAACAATGCAAATACAACAAAACATGATTACAAGTCTTGAGAGATTAGCCTCTTTTAGGCATTTGTTAAGAGAAAACATGGTAAACAAAAAAGGTTGTTACATGCCTCATATCATACTTTCACATTAATAAAATATCATCAGGCCTCCAAATGCACAAGTAGCAAAAGATTCTGATAAATCATAAATTTGTAGATTTGATTCCATCCAAATCTAACCACTAAGCAAATCATATATATATATATATATATATATATATATATATATATATATATATATATATATATATATATATATATATATATATATATATATATATATATATATATAATGTGATGTTTTTGCATATAGACATATCTTAGTCAAAAAGTGTCTCAAGGTGCCTTTAACAACACCATTCCCTGCATAAAAACAATAAAAATTTTGAATCTTCAAGGGCTAAATCCGTAAATATATAATTTATTTTTACAAAACATTTTAAGAAAATGATGATACGTTTTAATGAGGGGAAATATATATATATATATATATATAGAATTAGGACTTAATGGAGAGCTTACCAGCTGAGTTAGATGTTACACACTTTGTGCTTTTGTGGATACATCTTTAACTTTAGCATCAACATTGTCCTGCAGTTTATGATAATTTTTAGGGATAAATTATTGTAAAATTACCTAACTACCCCTAATTCATTCAAGTGATTATAGGATTATTTGATTCAATTGCTTTGAAAATACACAACCAAGTCAACTCATGGCCATTCTTGGATTCCTTTCATTGTACCCCATTTCTATGAATATTATTGTGAATGAAAATAAAAGTTATAAATCTTTTATAACATGTTTCAAGATTTAACCTCTTACCATTTTACAAGTGTAACAATCAACGAATGAGCTTAAATGTTTCAAATGATTAAACATAAAAATTCAATCTTTAATTCAAGTAGACAATAATTAACTTGCAAGTTACATAAAAATTCAATCTTTAATATGAAGTCATTTCTAGATAATATTTTGTAAGCATCATTTGGAAAACTAACAATAAAACATCATACTTTGCAAAATGCGCTATTCAAAAGAAACAAGAATCGCTCATTTTAACAAACTTTAGTTTACTTCTTTGCTTCAAAAGAGAGACAAAAAAGCTATGCATGATAGTTCAAAAGGTAAATTATCTAAAAAGAAGAAAAGAGAATATATTCATCTTTAAGTCCAATTCAAGTTCTTTTAATGTAATATTTGATGCAATTTTATCAAAAAAATTACATGAATCGAAATGATTAGTATAACGCTTGGTGTAATTGTCAAATTGTATAAAAGATTTTCTTGAATTCTATCATTTCCAGATTGAAAATTAAAGAAATTTGACCAGATAAGTTAAAGAAAATAATAGAAATTCAATCCAAGAAACTTACCACGCCATTCTTTTCGTAATAATCATCAAGAGCCCATTGATATTTCGATTGATTCAGCCCAAACCAACGAGCTACATAATCATCCAAACTTGAATGTGCTGTTAAAGATCAAAGATTAAACACAATTCTAACTTCAATGGACTACATAATTCCGATTAGGTATTGTATTCACTATTGAATAACAAGAAGTAGAACAAATTAAGCAATTATCAAACAAATCTGGGTTTAAATCTAATGAAATGACACAAATTCGTTTTTCAATTCCTTCTAAGTGTAAAGAATTCAAAATCGAAAGGAAAAAAGAAAGCAAATGATACCATTCTGGACTTTAGCGACGGCATCCCAAAAGAAACCGAACTTTGAGTCGTAGGCCGAAGCGGACTTCTCGTATTGAACCGGTGGCGGAAGGACCGGAGGAGCGGATTTCATCGGTGGAGAGGACTTCACAGGCGGCGGCGAAACATCTTTTCTCTTCGGAGATTCAGAAGCCGACACAGGAGAAGATTCGAATGAAGGCTTGGGAGTAGGAGGAGGAGTAACAAATACGGTGTAAGGACCGATCTTGCCGATCATCGGCGGAGTCGCCGGTTCTTTGTTGATCGGCATTTTTAATTTAGAGAAAAAAAAACAAAGAGTTCTTCCGCAAAGTTTGATCGGGTTTTTAGAATAAAGATTGGGGAAAATGTCGATTTGAAAAAATATAGATAAAGGGTTCGATGATTGTAGGGATGAGTGAAAGTGAAGTGAGAATCTCGAAGCAGAAAGCAAAGGGTTTTGGAGAATATGGTGTTGCAGCAGCAGCTTCTCACTCTCTCACACACACATACACACACTGGAGATAGAGAATGAGAGATGTTCGGTTGGTGGGATCTTTGTCTTTCATATTAAATTACAATTGTTTACCCTTAACTATGCCTTAATCTACATATGTAGTCCATTAAAATAATACTTTGATTTTTATTTATCATATCAAGTTATCAACTAGTGTATCCCTTGTATGTTCAAAATTTCAAATCAATTTTTATAAGATTATTAAGAATCTAATTCAACCCAAATTTTAATGATTATATATATATATATATATATATATATATATATATATATATATATATATATATATATATATATATATATATAGCCTCGAGTATAACATTGTATCGTTTGTTTAAAAAAATAGAATATAAATCTCCACAACTACTTGTTTTTTTTTCCTAATATAAAGAATTATGGGTTTATGGCCAAAACTATTTTTGCTATCATTTAATGAAAATAAAATTTAAAACTACATCAACCAATCTTTTTTAATAAATAAAAATAATTTTATCATTTGTTAATGTATTATATCACATGTTATTGTGGTAATTTAGATTAAATTATATTCATACGTCATATTGTGGGTTTTTTATTTTATTAAATTTCATATAATATTTAAATGTAATAATATATGTATATCTAATTCATTAATACAACTTCTTTATAATTTTTAAATTTTTAAATTGAATTAAATTATTTTAGTTGTTTAGTTATTTAAATTATTAGTTTAAATTTAAAGATAAATAAACACTTTAATTTTAATAATTAAATATTTTTTCTTATAAATCTAAAGGTTCTAAATTGTTAGATCTTTATATTTGTTTTTTTTTTTAATAAACATATATTATATATGGACCTTACAATTAATTTTTCTAACAACAATCCTCTAAAATAAAAATCTAAGTATGTTTTGCCATTCCTAATCTAAAATTGATGACATTAATTGATATTCATTAAATAGCCACATGTGATTTTTGAATTTTAGAGGCATTTTTGTCTTTTGTGAGCTGTCTCGTTATCTTCGTATTCATTATTTATAGAAATAATATGAATGGAAAAATATCAACCAATAACCAATCAAAGCAATTGATAATCTACGCATACACATATGACATGTGAACAAATAAGTAATATACACCAATATGGAAAAATAAAGGAGATATCAATATGTATGTATGGTTGTTTTAAAATAAATAAATAAATAAATAAAACAAAACCACTTCTATCATTTATTTCGGTTAAAAATCATTCTGATAGTTTTTGGTTGTGTAATGCAGAACACGTATAATTGTTTGTTTTTAAAAGATTTATGATTTGAAAACTGATGCAACATTGAACATTCATTTTTAAACAATTTCTCACCTCACTTTAAATTATATTATTCAATATAGATTTATTTTAGTTTTTTCAATCATGTGTTTATTATTTTATAATATTATGAATAATATTATAAACAACTAAAATATAGTTGTAATAATTCCAAAACCATTTAGTAAATTTCATATAAATATTTTTTATGTTATATTATCTGTAACCAAATATTAATAAATTATACAATTACTCACTAGTATTATCAAATCTATTGAAGCTAATCAAAGAAATAACCATCGTTTTGGAAATTTTAATAATAACAATTTTATTTATTGTTATTTAGCAATTATTATGTCTAATTATTTTATATAAACGTTTTAAAATCATATCATCACAATAATCTTTATATTTAATTTGCATATGATTAAAACTAGTTTTTATTTAGAATATTATTTAAGTATTATATGGTTAATTTCAGTTTATTTCAGTAGCATGCAATTGTTAAAAAACACACAAATTTCTTATTGTAGTTTGCATACTTTTGGTCTGCATCTTTTGCTGCAGAGTGTTGTAGATGTGATCCACAGATTACAAATGTTTTAGTTTTGAAAAATAAACAACACCTAAGTGACTAATGGATCCAAAGTATCATTTATAAAATATACATTCATATATACATATAAAAACAATCTTTATTTTCACATACGAGGCAGTGAGCCGAATTTCATGTGTTTCCATTAGATTGTAGGAAACTTTAATTTTAATTTTATTTGTTAAATTTTATAATTTATCTTTTATTAAAAAAACTAAATATATCAAATTCATAATTGTGTGTCGTCTTTAAATATATATAGGGTTTTAAAAGGATTTTTGAAAATTATTAAGATTGCATCGAGAAACAAAGAGCTCATAGTTTTACCAAATCTTTGACTTCAAAGCAACATGATTTTTTGTGTTCAGAAATAGGGTTATATGATCCATTTAAAGTTGATTAATTGTTATTTCCTCTATTAATGTTCATTCATCTTTAGAGGGGTATTAAAAATACATATATTATTTATTGCAATTTTAACATTGAGAATATTTTTCTTAATTTGGGTTTAAACTGTAAATGTGGTAAAGTATAATTTTGAGAGTGGTGTGGGGATTTTGTGGTGTAGGGTGTGTTTTTGTTCTATTTTGTATATTGCAGGGATTATGGCTCATTTTATTCAAACTAGGAAAAACACGTGGATCTACAAGGATGGCTTTGGGTCGGGTAAAGTCCTACTTTGATCGATGCATGGTACGTGAAGTATATAATGCATGTTCTAGTTTATCGAGACTCATATTCAGATCATTCTCTACACACATACACTCGAGTCTCATATGTTCTTTGTCGTCTTCATCATTTTAGGGTTTTCATTCTAAGATTAGGGTTTGTCTGTTCTTGGTTGTTTTTGCTCTATAAATCGTAGTTTTGATTAGTTCTTGTTATTTGTTTGTGTTTGATTCGAGTGAGAGTGTTTTTGTAGGTGATGTTTCAGTTGTAAGTTCCTGAAAACCAACTAGATCTTAATGTTTAGTTAATAAAAGATTTGTTGATGTTGTGATTTGAAGTGTTGTTTTACGTTTTTTATCAAATGGCATTGACAAAAACTATTGGATCGTTGTGCAACATTCCCAAAATAATTTTATAAACCTAAAAACAAACCCGTTAGACTCAAAGATTCATCATTTCATTAATTACAAATGGATTCTCTAATATTCCCCGCCCTGAAATCACTATCCAAATAAGAGATGTCCATGGAATAAAACTTAAAATAACTATTATCTTGACAAGGCCAAATAAGAGATGTCCATGGAATCAAATTAAAAAACTGTATCAACATACTAATTTGCATTAGTCATAATCATCCTATCTATCATCTCTCTCTTTTGTTTATTAGTTATACCATGGTGCTATCTAAAATTTCCACTTCTTCGATCTTCCACTTTACTTTGGCCTTTTGATCCAAATCCAAAAGTTTTTATTTTCAATCTTTAACTTTTTTTTTAAGAATGCTCACTTGCTTTATTATTTTTTGGTTCATAGTCGAGCTTGAATCGATCTTCAGATCAATTCTATCCAATTGAGTGTGGGTGTCCTTTTTTCTATCAGCTATCAATGTATTTTACATTCTTCCTACAATCCTTCAAATGCTTTGTAACATTTTTTAGTTTAGGGATAATCATAAAAATATCTTATATATTAGGGTTTTTTTCTCTAGATTAAACATTACCTTTATTTTTTCCTAAAAAATATCTTATATTTTTTTTTTTCCAATTTAGTCCTTATAAATTTTTTTCAATTTACCCATTAAATTTTCATTTTTTTTTCAATTTAGCCCCTATATTTTTTCATTTTTTTAGATTAACCTCAACTTTATTTTTTTCTAATAAATACTTACATCTTTGTTATCTTTAAAGTTTTCTTGCATTCGGTTCCATTCCATGGAAGATGCTCCAACTTCATGATGGTTTTGAGTAAATCTATAAAGATTTTGATGTAACTTCATTTCTTGATGAATGCATTAATTTCTCTTCCGCAAGGCATCATCGATGTAGGGAAGAAAATTGTAGGCACATGTAATCATCTAGAAAAGTTCAACCCAAGATGTTTAACATTCATTTGTATGATCAAGAGTTATTCTCAGTAGGAGCCATATGGTTCGATGATGGAAGAAAAACAACCACTCCGCTCTTTCTCTTCTCGCCAACAAATGATATCCCTCTTATCTTTTTTTTATCATCTTCCGTCATAGAACCCTTCTTTCGTCATAACCAACATAAAAAAGCTCAATGTAGACAATCCTTGATTAAATTGATGATCGTTGTGAATCTTAGGTTGAACTTTTCTATATCTTTACATGAACTTACAATGTTCTTGACCAATCATCAACCAATTGGATTTACATGACCACCTCTCTAGATATAATCCAAACTAGTGATGTCAACTGAAACTAAAATGGAGCGCAAATAAGTGTCATTGCCCCTCCCCCACCCCCAAATCGTCCGTTTACATAGCCCATTTACATAGCCCCTGATCCCGCCCCCAAATACATTCATCGCCCCAGATCTCGTCATGTTCCTCCCGTTTTATAGGCTTAAAATTGACTTTTTTGCTAAAAAGATTCTATATTTTGGGCTAAAAAATTTATTTTTCATAACTTTAAAAGCTTAAAATCAAGTTTTTCAGCAACTAAAATAATTTAAAACCCAACGTTACAAATTCAATATTACAAAACGACAAATCCTACAAACTTACAAATATAACATATGACAAAATCCAACATATATATATATATATATATATATATATATATATATATATATATATATATATAATGTCCAAAAATATGTGATCGGTTCACTACTGTATCGCCGTATGCTATTAAATGGAAGAAAAAAAAATCAAGAAACCCCAAAATTAGATAATGTATATATATATATATATATATATATATATATATATATATATATATATATATATATATATATATATATAAACGGGTCCTCCGCGGGTGTACGAGACGGAAATACCCACTCTTGGCCCGATCCTAAAAACAAAACGGGGTTGAATCCTACTCTCGCCCCCCCCCCCCTCCCTAATTCGTTAAAAAATTAATCCCGTACGGAATTGGGGTCTCATACCAACTGTGACATCCCCAATTTCTTGGCCAGAAAAGACCGATTTGTTTATGCTTGTTTTTAAAATCAGAGTAATCTTTTAAAGAAAACAATTGCGAAATTTGTTCCCAAAATATGATAAAGATTTATCAAAGCATT